TAGGCAGAAGAGGGTGGACCTAAAAAACTTATCTAAACCTATTAATATGCTTAATAATAATTTTATTTTTTGTGATATTAATTATTAGCATCGAACCCAACATGCGACTCGGGATTATGTATACAAGACAAAATATTTTATATCGAAAAAGAGTGAAAAAGTGTCTCTCTTTGTCCGTCTGATTGCATAGTGTCGTTAAAAGGAGTGAAGAGCCAAGAAAAGGTTTCAGCGGAAGAATTATTAATAGAAACATTAATTCGAGAAGCTATAGTAGTAAATAATATTAAGTCACCTGAGATCTCACCCGATTTTCTAATGCTTATTAATAATGAAATAATTAAAGCCGATTGTATTAAGTCAAAAACCAAAGATCTGAATGAACAATTATGGCTTTCTCTTAGACAATGGTTGGGGATGGAAGAACCACTTACAAGAAGAAATATGCGGCAACATCTTCGACGTAAATGGAAAAAACTTAAACATGCTATAGAATTTCGAAATTATAAAGATTCTTTAGTAGCTTCATATATCTCTCAGAAAGAAAAAGCCTAAATAATAATTTCTGCACGTGGTAATCTTCGATCACTAAAAGGATTAGTGCAGTTTCGGTATATTGTAAAGCCAGAATGTGTTACTGATGCAGATGGCCGAACCTTAATATATCTGGCATTACTCAATAACCTAGGGGCAGTCGTGCAAGCAACTAATGCCATAAACAATTATTACTTTCATACCTTAAATAATCCCTCCTATCGTAGTAGTGAATTCTGGAAGAATTTTATAGAACATTTTGGTGCATATACATGAAACAACCTCCTCCCATTCACTAGTTCGAATACCGCAAGCTCTCATAATACTGCACACTAAGAATGCATTAACACTTTATTTCGCAATCTTGGTCTATTATCAACCTCTGTCAATGAATTTGTACAAAAATTCTATAGAAATTTATATGAAAAACTAGAGAAGTTAGTGTGGAGTCCCTTTGCACCTTGACCTTTTGGAATCTTCCTGATGATCGCTATTAATTACAATACAACTAGCGATTACCATTAGGATGAATATGACGAACCAAATAGTTTATGCTGTTTGGTCGCCCTCAGAGAATTTGAAGGAGGAGAATTATACTTCTCTCAACTCCAGATCGTTATACCGCTTCAGCCTGGACAAGTTGTGGCATTTTCCTCGCGTCTTCTACTCCACGGCAACTTCCCACTTACAAAAGATATTCGCCATAGTATCGTGTACTTTGTATATGATACCTTTTTTCATAATCTACGAAAATTTGTTGACGTATATAATGATTTGGAGGATGAGATTGAAAGAAATACTGATGGGGATGATGTTCTTTTCATTAAACATCAAAATTTCAATGATGCTCAAGGATTGAATTCCCGAAATATGTTTTTTAAACTGAAAAAAAAGCAAATAACAATTTCTTCTTCATCGACAGATTGTAGAAGAGGTCATATTTCTTTGGTACGTGCTAGGTATGGGTTGAGAGCAGAAGATCTGTTTTCAGATTTATAGAAATGTAATATATTTTTATATTTTTTATATCAATAAAGTGCTGAGTTAGTCGGTAAAAAAATAATGAAAATGACTAGTTGTCTACTGTTTTCCTAATGCTATTCTTGAGATCACAATTAAGTGATCAGCGTAAACAAATTGTTTACACATATGTGAATATATTTTATATTAATTTTTATTTATCTACCCCCGTCACAAGTAGAAAAATGAATCTGATATTTATTATAGTATACTTGTTACAAATTACTATAAATCTCTATAAATCGCTATAAATCGCTAAAAATAATATCATTTACTAAATATGCCTGGTGATATGGTTAAAATTATAATAGATGATATTTATAATAAAAGAGTACCTAAACCTAACAATCTCCGTCCTGGCTATGATATGGAACATGTTTTTAACTATCGACCTCAAACCGATGACTATCGCTATAAAAAGTGATTGAAATAGAAAAACAATATGATTATTTATCCATTATTAGACCTCATAAAACACCCCAGCAATGGGCTACTCGTATAAGAGCCCCTTTGCAAGAACTGCTTTCTAAGTGAGAATATAGTGTTTATTATGTATTCTGTCTCTTTGCCTTATTTGGAGAAGGAATAACCAAAGCGTATTACAGCCATGTCAATGGTGAGTTAATAGATATTCCATATAAATATCGCAGGCCTAGAGTTCACAAGAGTGAAATGGCTATTTGTTTCGATTGCTGGAAATTAGTAAAGATCACTGAAATAAAATCAAGAAAAGTGTATTTTGATGGATATCGCAGATGGAGCTATGAAGTCGAGTCTGAAGATTTGATAAAGAATCATTGAAATTGCTCTTGTTTCAAAGCTAAGACTGAAGAGGTCCCTTTGGAACTAGATAAATCATATTCATTGACTAGTTCCAAGGTAGCCACTCCTCCTATACAATGTAGTGTAAGTGCACCTGGCTTAATTAATACTAATAAACCCGGGAAGGGAAATACAAACAAATTATTTATCTCGTCTCTTTTTGCAAAACAAATTAATTTACTACCATCTTATCTTAATCTACCAAAAGATACTGTATTAAGATTGAAAGACGGAACAGAAATTACAATTGTTTAACTAATCTAACTAATCGATTCTAATATCGATAATATTAATATTTTTTTATCTACTAGAAGTTTGTGAACAAACAAATCATCTTGGCTCTGGTGCTTCGATCTACAATTTGACCAATTCTATTTATTAACTGAGGCACTTTTTTCCTTATGCTTCTGCCTCACCTCTATCTCTTTCTGCAGGTTTAATGGAGTATTAAACTTTAGTCGAATTGCAAGAGGATCATCCTCCGGCCTGGTGAGATCAAAAACAACAAACTCACCTTTACGGAGATAGCTATTAATAATCATGGATGCGCTCTTTACATCATCAGTATATCGGCCAGCTATCTTGGACACATCTTGATAACTGCTTCCCCCATTATATATTACTAGAAAGGAGATATTCTCACGAATAATAATTGGTACATGATGGTACTTCTGAGTAACATGCATGGAGAAATATTTCAATGACGTCCATGTGTAAAAAATAGAATTATTCGATTTTGGATAGATTCAGGAGCAACACATACATCCTCAAAAATGATTACGGTACTCCTCTCTGGTGAAAATGATTTCACATTAGGAATTTGTTCTAGTGATATGTAGTTGAATCTAATATTCTCATAATAAGGTGCTTTGGGATTACTTGCTATTATTCTATACATATATCTAACGAATGCCCATTTCGGCTCATCAGAATGGTAACCGCAAACTATCAAATTATCGCATCTAATATATCTGGATCCTCCTTTTTGTCTTTTATATATATGTTCACATTTACTCCAAGAACAAGGTTTGCTAGTAAATTGGTCTTATCTGTACCACTTCTTCCGCTGACTATCATGCTAAAAGGCCATGTCATTGCTGGATGTCTAACATTTTGGGATGATTCGTGCTTTGTGGCCTCATCCATATCCATAAGGTAGAGTTTCATAGGTGGTAGTTCTTTTTTTTGGTTCTTTTGTATGACGAATTGGGAATTCATAACTTTGATTTCTATTTAAAGATATTTTATAGTTCGGAAGATTTTTTTCATCATTATACGGTAAAATAAAAGAATATAGATAAGAGGATATGCGCTATAGGAAGTATATAATTAGTAATATTATTATCAAGAAGATAAAATACTGCTGAAAGAATGAATTGAGTAATACTGAGGTTATTTCAGGACTAGTGATGCTGCTACCTTTCTCTAGTCTGCTAACACCTCCAATCACTTCATTATACTTAGACTTACTGGATACTTTCGAAATCTGCTCTGCTAAATGAGCATTAGCTTCTTGAAGAAGGAATCTTTCTCTAATAATGCCTTTTGTGCTGAAGCTAAATTATCCTTTATCCGTATTAATTTATTTCTTTCTTTAGACAGAGTTTCTTCTAACTCCATTTTTTTATAATTTAGAGTAGTGTTTTCAGCAGATAGTAATATCTTTTCTTGTTCGAATTCACGCTCAAGAGATTCCATTTCTGATAACTCATTCTGTACTAAAGAAAGATCTTGCTTCAATTCTTTTACTCTTGATTGGAGAGCCTGTATCTCTTTCTCCATCTTGGATTGGAGGGCTTGCATCTCCTTTGATTTTATAGAAAATTTGCTTTCGGCATCTGCAAAAGAAATATCCTTGCGAGTGATCTAAAGCTTAAAGTCATTTATCTCTGAATGTAAATGTCTTATTTCATCCCCAAGCTTGGAGTTATCTATTTCTGATTGTAACCGCATTGTTTCTTCTCCAAGCTGGTGAACACGATCAGAGAGCTTCTTACTATCTTTTTTGGATTTATCAAGATCGTCCTGTATGTGCTTATTTTCTTTTTTGGATTTATCAAGGTCATCCTGTATGTGCTTATTTTCTTTTTTTGATTGATTTAGAGAATCTTGTATATGTTTTTTTTCTCTATCTAAGACATCGTAATTATCTGCAAACCGATTTCCCCAATATATAGCAACTTCACGATCTTTTTTGGCACAAGAAAGTTGTTCTTCAAGCTCTGTTCGGCTAGAAGGATAATAATTAGCTGGAATATCTCCAAGTTTATTACTATTATCCAGATCTTTTAAAGTATGGATCTGAAACATTTTATTGGTATTTTTTTTTTCTTTAGGCAGAAATTTTTTTTTCCGGTATTAGAAGCAAGATATTTTTTCTTTGAATAATACTATATTGATACACATTGGTAAGCATTAATACACATTGATAGATATTGAAACATATTGGTGAGCATTAGTGGATATTAAACCGCATTAATGTATATTAAAGAGTATTGATACACACTGAAAATATATTAATACACATTGAAAAGTATTGATATGCATACATTGATACGTATTGATATGCATTGATATTTTATTGAAAAGCATTAATATTTTTTTTCTAGTATAATAATCTTGTAAAGATGGTAGCCCGTCTTCTTTATACATTTTATGATGCTAAGGCAACCCTGTTAACAGAAGCCGATATTAAGGAAATTAGAGAATCTAGAGGCAGGATACCCAATGCATCAAAAAAAATGGCTAATAAATTTCATATCGGACCTAAGCGTATTTATAAAATATGGGATAATAAAGAATGCCTCCAGCAAGAGGTTATTTTATCTCAGTCTGTTTTGGATGAAAATCCCAAGACTGATAAGTCAGAACAGAATCTTGAAGCAGTACCAGAAGTACCATCTACGTCTACTCTGACTATGAAGATTCTAAAAAAGAATGGTCAAAAAAAAAAGGTCTCTCTTGAATTAGAAATAAGACAAGAAAAAAAATGAGAACAAAGATGACGTGCTCTCTAATATTTTGCCAGATGTATCCCAAGAAAAAAGGTTAGAATCTCTTCTTGAAAACTTAGTCATTCGCGGTGAAAAGCTTAAAAGCTCAGTTAGTACTTTTGATATCTCTTCTATATAAAGATTCACATGTATTAGCAAAAACTTTCCAGTTCTTAATGCCAAGTCAAGCCATTTCTCAGTTTTCAAAAGATCTTCACATTTTTTTTTAAGTTTTCACTAATCAGGCTAGAGGAATCAGTGGATACTTAGTCCTGCTCCTCTTTTGGCAGATCGTTTATTTCTGGAGTCTTGCTAAAAGTTGGGATAGTGTAAGTCTTCCCATGTAACTTCATTCGAAATTGATTTTTATTCGGATCGAGAATACCTTGAACTTTTCGAATCTATGTCATATCTAAACATAGCATTGGTTCGGGCTCACTATTATCAATACAAGTAAAATTTCCAGTAACTGTAACAGTTTTTCCATCCTTATCCTTTATAATGATTGGTACATCTATAAATCATCCTAATGATTTGGTGATATGTTTGGAGTTACCTTTTATAGCGAAGTCAGATGGCTTGTTGGCTTTCCACCCAAGGGCACCAATTGTTGCATTATTTACCCCTCCAAACTCACTTCTGCCATCTAAAAAAGAATTAGAGATCATTAAATCATCTATTTTAGTATTCAGATATTGCAAAGATGAAAACTATTCATTTGATTCCTTCTCCTGAGTCCTCTGAGATAGACACATTTTACACATTGCCGGTGAAAGTTTTGGCAACAGCTCATCATACGTTTCAGGCTGGCTGGATTCTGTTAGTACTTGTTTTTTTTTTCTGGTGGATAATACCCAGTCCACCTATTATTTTCTTCATCATAACCACCACTATTATCATCATCATCATCTGAAGCTGGAGGCATGTATTGGGATTGTGTAGATGGAAGTTGGAGGTAGTAATGTGTAAAATTTGATTTAGCTACAAGATTTAAACTGAAGCAATTATTTTTCTTATGCCTTTCCTGTCCGCAATTACTGCAATAGAAAGGCTTTCGAGATTGATCATTAAGTGACATTCTTCCTAATTGATTAGTTAATTGTTCTACAAAATCTGCAACACTACCTACCATGTTTGCAACTTTACCCATTATAGATTCTAATCTATCAATTCTTGCTGAGCGTAATTTATCTGGTTTATGTAGTACAGGAGGCCCATCAAAGGGGTTATCACTTTCATAAGAATAACGTAATTGCTCTATATTTTTAGGAGGAATTGGTGGAGGAGTTTTCTTGTTTTGTTGTACCATCAGTGCTTGAAATTTGGCGTTCTGCTTTTTCAATAAAGTCTGATATTCAGTTTTTTGCTATACTAATGCATCTTGAAATCTTTTTTCCATATCTGCCAAGGAAATTTCTTGTTGTTGAGAAGCCGAAACGGGTAAAGGTTCATATATTTGCCGAGATACTAGTTGATCAGGTATTTTATTTCTTTTATGCCTAGCTATTTGCCATAACTCTATCTCATATAGCTTTTTAGCTAATTCATCTAATAGCAAATGTTCACCAATATCCTTAGCTTTTTCAAGCCATGGGAGTGGAAGAGCATCTAAGAACTTTCTACGTAATTCTTTAGATCTATAGTTAGCCCATCTACCTATTCGTAATAATTTTTTATATAATTCATCTATAGTCATGTTTCCCTTTCTGATTATTTCATACATTAAATCCCAAAGCTCCTCTTCCACTTTAGGAAAATGTGTTTTTAGCCACCATATGGCTTGACCAAAATGAATGCCAGCTACAACCATTGTAGTACCATTATTAGCATTTGGTGCATTAACAGCAATGTTAGTAGGACGACCACCTGCTATGCACCAATCTTCATCCCAGGGACCTTTTACAGCTCTCAACTTGACTATTGCAGTTTCTGATTGGCCAAGTGCCTCATTTAATGCTTGATTTCCTATCTGAACTGCTGTTTGCCCATTTACGCCTACTAAGTTAGCCTGCTCTGTATTATCGAGTAAGTTTGCTAATTCCCAATTCTGTTTTGTAGTAATTTCTTCATCAAACTATTCTAAAGCTCTTCCTCTCATACAGCCTCTTAAATATCCCATAGCTACTTCTCTTCCTGTTGGTGGACCTCCTGCATTATCTGCTAGATTTACATCTTGGTTTTGCAAGTATAATCTTAGCTTCGTAAAAAAATCTGGGATATCATCGCCCCAGTCAAAAAATGGTTGTGGTATCCTTGCTATATTTCTTCGATTTTGTTGATTATTATGTAGCGGCAAAATTTGTTGATTTAAATTTAAAATATTCTGGTGCTCTGTATGAGTCTTATTTTTCTACTTCTCGTATCGTTCATACAATCTATCTCAATTATATTCTAGCAAACCTCTATCAGCTCTGCATTATTGTAAATGGATGATATTTCGCTGATACAACAACTGGAAAGCAAAATTTTTACATAGCAATTCACTGATATGGGTTTGTTTTTTTGCTGTATGATCTATCATTCTGTTTACTTGATTCTGAGCATTAGCTCGTAACTGATTATGCTCCTGTACTGCTTGATCTCGCTCCTGCCTGTACATATCACGATTTCATCGTTTGTTTACCAGATCTTGTTGCAAGTTAGTATATTTATGTCAGATTGACCTTGTTGATCTTTTAATTTGATTTGCTAAAATCGTTCTACATATTGTTATATTATCTAGGGAGAGTCTATAGCATTGGCCAATTCAGCTATTGTACCCATATCTAAATTTTGATCAAAATTATAAATATCTAAAGAATTTTCATTAAGGTCGGATTCGTTTTCATTATTTCATGCTTGTGCATTTTGCAAAGCCTCTCTGGTATTTATAAGTTCTAATCTATCTCGGTATCTTAATAATGATAATGC